GCCCATGTTCATCTTGGCATCAGTGATGACTCCAAGATCCTTTTTTGCCTCTGCGCTGACGAGAAGGGAGTTCCCCAGCCCGTAGGTACGGTGCTGGTTCTTCCTCCCCAGGTGCAGCACCTCGCACTTCTCAGTGTTGAATTCCGTCCTGTTCTCATCCACAACCCGCCCCGCCCCCCCGTAACCTGTCCCGGTCCGATTGTAGCCTATTCCTCCCTTCCAGCATGCCCACATCCCCCCACATCTTAGTGTCGTCAGCAAATTTGAACAGGGTGCTTTTTACTGCCTTGTCCAAGTCGCTGATGAAGATGTTGAACAGTGCGGGACCGAGGACCGAGCCCTGGGGGACCCCACTGCCCACATCCTTCCAGGTCGAATAAGACCCATCCACCACCACTCTCTGGGTGCGACCCTCCACCCAATTAATGACCCATCTGACTGTGTAGGCATCAACACCACCATCTCCTAGTTTTTTAATGAGAACGGGGTAAGAGACAGTGTCAAAGGCCTTCCTAAAGGCCAGAAAGACTATGTCCACTGCTACCCCTGCATCTAAGGATTTGGTGATCTGGTCGTAGAAGGCCACCAGGTTGGTCTGACAGGACCTGCCTCTAATGAACCCGTGTTGGTTGCCCCTAAGCATAATCTCCCCCGCTGGCCCCTCGTGGACATGCGCCAAGATAATTCTCTCAAAAACCTTACCCAGGATCGAGGTAAGACTAACTGGTCTATAGTTTCCTGGGTCATCCTTCCTGTCTGCAGGGGAGCGACAGCCACTGCCTTTTGTACCAGGTCCTTGGAGAGCAGGTGGGAGAAGGGGACTTGCCAGGCCCACTAAAACCCAAACCTAGTGCCAGCATCTAGGCTGGAGCCAGTCGAGTGAGCCCAGAGCTCTCAGGAGCCAGAGGCCCCTGCAGCAGAGACCCCAGACCACCCTCACAGCTTCCCCCTCTAGGTGCTGCAGCCTTGGTCTTACCCTTGTGGATGAAGATGGCTACCCTATGGAAGTCCTGTTCCTGGAAGCCCCGGGAGGTCAGCGCCGGGGTGCCCAGCCTCAACCCGCTTGGTCGCAGGGCACTCCTGTCACCTGCGTGAGAGCCACAAGTCACCCGGGGAACGAGGCAGCCAGTACACCTTGCTTGTGCCTCTGCCAGTGCTCCTGCTGCAGGGAGGGGCGGCAGGATGGGATCTGGCACCCAGGAGTTTGCTGTGTGGTGTCTCCACACCCCTCCCTGCTCCTCTCCTCCAAGAGCAGGAGCCCTGACAGCATCTTGTGGTGCCCTGGCCCCAAAGTCTGGCCGGCAGGGTGGTGACCCTGGCATGCAGTCCCTTGAAGCCGGGCAGGAGAGCTGCCTGCTGGGCTTCGGCTCTAGGGTGCCTTACAACCGACAGAAGCAGCTGCATCCAGTCCCATCAATCCAGCACCACTGCGGATAGCCAGGGGCCCCTCCAGCCAGCACAGAGGCCAGGTGAGTCACTAAACTAACCCCATCCCGGCTTGCAAAGCAGATCGCCCCTCCCTAGCCCCAGCCAATTGGTGTGGCAGTGATTAACCTTCCATTGGTAGGTACAGGGGTTGGCGACTGTGTCATCCCTTTCAACCCAGATGACAAGCAGAGCAGCTCCAGCATGGAAATGCAGCTGCTTCTGGGGTGCAGCATAATCTGGGTGGGAGGGGAAGGTCACAGAAAGGAGTGTGCGGTAAAGGCCTGACTTGCTGGATCAGCTCCGTCCCTGTGGCCGGACTGCAACACGTGTGTGGCCACCAGAAGGCAGAGCGCAGCTTGGATGGGGCAGGAGTATCCACCCAGCTCTGCCCAGGCTCCTGTGGGCTCTCACCCGGACAGGTGTTCTTGTTGCAGGCGATGGAGCAGATCTCCAGCACCCGCTCGGCCCTGCCGCCATCCGTGCCTTTGCTGCGCAGGTCCACGAGGATGAGATGGTTGTCGGAGCCGCCTGCAGGACAGACACAGCACAGGGAGGTGAAGGGGAGCCCTGGCTGGGCCGTGGGGGGAACTGGGCACTGGAGCTGGGGCTTGAGCTCAGCAAGAAGGTATGCCTTGAAGGCCAATGCACCTCCTACCAGTAGCCCGTGGTGGATGTGAGTAATAACAGATGCAGCTCTCACCCATATCACACAAGTTGTATTGGTAGAAATGGGCCTTGATGGGAGATTCAAGGTTCCCCCTCCCATATCTGAGGTGCCTTACACTTGAAGGAATAGGGCACTTGGGCTCAATCCTGCTCCCACGGCCATGTAGGGTACAACGGCTGCCAGCATCCGTACTCCCTGCCCTGTCTGGGGGGTGCTGAAACAGGCCATGGGCAGGACCAGCTTGTGGCAGCGCATCCATGGCAGCCTGGCTGGATGGGGGAGCGCTCCAGCCGCACCTGTAGTTTCCTGGGACCCTTAGCATAGCTGCGAAGGAGAAGAAGCCTAGTTTGGGTCCCCTGAGAGGCCGTGTCAGAGCCGGACTCCAGCCTGGTGAAGGAGGGGGCTGCGGCTGCCGTGCTTACCAGTGACGATGTGGTAGCCCATGCCAAGCAGCGCTACGGCCAAGGCCTTGCAGTTGGCAACCACCTGCCGTTGGTAGGCTCTGAACTCGGGGGTCATGGCTTGCTTGAGTGCCACAGCGATTCCTGCATGGGAAGGAGAGGTGTTGGCTCCGGGCTGGCGGCATCCGGCCGTGCGGACAATGGGACGCTGGCCGGGAGCTCCAGGGAACGGAGCAGCTGCTCCCTTCTCAAGCCTGTCTGGCAGGCGCAGTGCCCGAGGGCTTTGTAGAGAAGGGCCCCCGTTGTCCCAGGGCTCCACAAAGGGTCCATTCAGTCCAGTGCCTCCTGCTGGGAGAGGACCCCCTGCACGCTGGAAGCCTGCAATGGGATGGATCTGTGACCCAGCTGTGAGCTGCAAACCAGCAACGGATGCCAGGGCTCCGGGCAATCAGGCTCCTGTCTATGGAGGGCCAAGGCCAGCAACCCTGAGCCTCCTACCCTGTTCCCTCTGCTTGCGGCAGCCTTGTTTCAGCTGCAGCTCCCACCTGCAGCAGCTCTGCTCAGCTGTTAGCACGCCAGAACGCCAGGGGGTGGAGGGCAGAGGCCCCCAGGCTCTTGTCTAGTGTTGGTCCAGGGTGGCTTGGACCTAAACTGTCCTTATGACCCTGCCCTGGGCCCAGCTGTTGAGAAGCTCCTCTGGAGCTTGGTGTCCATTCACCAGCCCCCAGGCTTGGGCAAGGAGCTGTCACCCCCTTCCAGGCCCCCCGGCCCTATCTGGCCAGCGCTGGGGGCCCCTCACCTGCAATGGCATGGTTGTGTGGCCCCCCCTGCAGCCCGGGGAAGACGGCCTGGTTGATGAGGCTCTCCAGGTTGTAGGGCGTCTCCTTACCCGTCTTGGGGTCCACGCTGCGTGTCCCTGCAAGAAGGGTGGGGGGAGGGGAGACATGACTCATTAACCCCTTGGTGCCTAGAGGCGGGGTTTCCCAGCACCAAATGGTCAAGCCAGCACCCCACCCATCTGTGTGCAGGACCACGTGCTTCCCAGGTACTGGGAGCTACTGGCTGGAGGGACAGGATGTCCCAAGGGCACCAGGGCAGGGGATGGGTGCAGTAAGAGGGGGTTGGCTGAAGATGCACAACACAGTTGGCATGTGGCCCATGGCCCCTCCACCACCTCGGGGCATTCCCAAGGTTGGTCCAGGGCAGGCAGTGGAGACCCAGCCAGCCCTGCTGCTGCTGAGTGACCCGGGCAGGCAGTGTCACCAGGGGTAGCCTGTAGCTGGGCCTTGCCAGGCTCAGGTCCAGCCCCAAGCACACAAGCAACAAGGGGGCACGCACCAGACAGGGGGTCTGGCAGAGGCGAGGGGAAGGCTGAGACCCTCCCTATAAGGACAGCACTGAAGCCACTGCCCCAAGGGAGCCTCAGACCCATGTGTGGACAGGGCCTGGGGGCAGAAGGGTACATCCAGCACAGCGCTTCCTACCTGCAGGCCAGGGCATTGGGACAGGCTCCCAGGGGCCCCTTGGCCAGCAGCCACCCAAGCACTTGGCCCCATAACCCTGCTCACTCTGAGGCTGTGATGGTACCAGGGGCCTTTTATACCCACCCCCAAGCTACAGCAGCACTGCCCTGCCTACCCTGACCCAAGGCACCTGCTCCCCAAACCTTTGCGGTAGAAAATCATGCCGGCCCGGCAGCCCCGCAGCGTCTTGTGGGTGGTGGTGGAGACCACGTCACAGTGCTCGAAAGGCGAGGGCACCACACCAGCCGCCACCAGCCCGCTGATGTGGGCCATGTCGGCCAGGAGGTAGGCGCCGTTCTCGGTGGCAATCCTCCGCAGGCGGGCGTAGTCCAGGTTCCGCGAATAGCAGCTCACCCCTGGGATGGGAGGGGGACAGCACCGGCCCCGTGAGAGGTGCTGCACAGCCTGACGCCTGCTCAAATGGCTGGGAGCCAGCCCAGGGCTTGGCCACCAGAGGCCAGGGAGGGATGCTACGAAGGACCTTGGTGTCCAGCAGCCCCTGGACTGGGCCAGCAGCCTCCAGCTATTGCTGTCCAGCAGGCAGTTACACCAAGGGTCACGGGGGGAACCGGAGCCCAGAGCAGCGGGTGATCTGCACAGCCACGTGCAGGACTTGGGTGTCCTGGCTTCCAGCCTCCCCTCGCCCAGCACAAAGTCCCTCTTTGCCACCGCAGCTCCAGATCAGGAGGCAGGTCAGGATGCCTGGCACCGCGCTGCCCCCGTGCCCCAGCCAGGCTGGGACCCACACACTGGCTGTGACCCTGTTCTCCCCATTATCAGACCTGCTACGCACCTGCAATGATCAGCTTGGGGTGGAACAAGCGGGCGTTCTCCTCCAGCCGGTCGTAGTCGATGTACCCGGTGCTGGGATCCACCTGGGGGGGAGCAGCCGGGAAGCCCGCGAGGTGAGCACCACGCTCCACCTGCCCTGCCCACGTGCTCCCACGCCACAGCCGGGCGACAGGGACCCAGTCATGCGCTAAGGGGTTAATGCTGTCTCCACACCCCCTGTAGTGCCCCACACCCGAGCTCAGGCCCCCACGGCCCAGTCCCATGACCAGCCTTGAGCCTCCCATTAGGGATCCACATGCTGAGTCAACAGCGGGGCATCGGCCCGTGGTGTGAGCCCCGGCCCACAATGGCAGGAGGGAGCAAGGAACACAGAGGCGCTAATCCTGTCCTGCCTCCCGGCCTGGGACGCACAGGACCTCAGAGCCAAAGGGGTCCCGTGGACTGTCAGGATCACTACTGCCCAGCTGGCAGCTGGGTCATGTGCCCCCCAAGCTGGTTACAAGACAGGCCCCATACCAGCAACCCAGTCCTGCAGGGCTCACCAGGCCCATGCCAACCCCATCCTGAGGAAGCCAGAGGTGACGGCTGCGCTAGGCTGGGGTGGCAGAAGCAGGTGCCCCTCACCTTGTAGGGCATGGACTCGAAGAAGATGGAGGTGGCTGAGATCTTCTTCTTGTCGGTCATGAAGCCATGGGTCAAGTGCCCCCCGTCAGGCAGGTCCAGGCCCATGATCCTGCCGTGGGGCTCCACCAGCGCCGTGTATACTGCAAAGTTAGCCGGGGACCCTGCAGTAAGAGCAGTGTGAGCAAGTCAGGCATGGATCCTGCTGCACTGCAGAGGGGTGAGGCCTGGGCTAAGCCCTGGGCAGGGGGTTGAAATGACTGCCTGCTTTACACAGCCCCCAGGCTGGGCGCTCCCCTTCCCCAGCAGCCTCTGGCTTGGGGAAAGCTGGCAGTGTTTGAAAGCCAGGGGTCCCCAGGCATGGGCAGGATTGCTCTCTCCCCCTGCCAGCGTGCAAGGAGCTGGGGCGTTACCTGAGTAGGGCTGGACATTGACGCCCCACTTCTGGGGGTCCAGGTTGTAAGCCTCCAGTGCCCGCTTCTGACACAGCCTCTCCAGCTCGTCCACACACTCCGTGCCGCCGTAGTACCTGCCACGCAGAGGAAAGAGCAGGAGCTCTACAGGGGATCTGCAGGGCCAGCTGCTGTGCCCTGCACCGAGGGCAGGGCCTGGCCCACTATGGGCTCTGAAGGGAAGGGGCTTGGGCAGGCAGCTGAGCAGGAATCATGCCCTGAAGAAACATGAGCCAAGAGGTGCCCCCACACACGCACCACTCCGTACCTCTGCCCTGGGTACCCCTCCGAGTACTTGTTGTTCAGGCAGGAGCCCAGGGCCTCCAGCACGGCCCGGCTGGCAAAGTTCTCGGACGCGATCAGCTCTAAGCCCAGCCTCTGCCGCTGCTTCTCCTTCTTGATGATGTTGAACACCTTGGAGAGATGAGGCAGGGGATTGGGTGCCCGGAGGCAAGACGCACCCTCCCAGGGGAGAAGAGTGATGGGGAACAGACACAAAGAGGTGGCAGCTAGGAGAGGAGAGGCAGGGCCTCTTTCTGCCAGGGCTCTGAGCTTAAGATGTGGACAACGCTCTGCATAGGGTTATGTGGATGAACCAGAGGGGCTCAGAGCAGTGCCCCTACAGAGCTGCTTTCCTGCCATGTGGCATGTGCAGTCTACATGGGGGGAGTGGGGAGGCGGGGATGGGTCCAGCCATTTCTTTTTTTGTTTTACAGGTGGGGTGGGGTCCTTTGGGCAGCTCAAGGATGCGTGAGCTTGTAGGTGCTGGCTGGAAGCAAGAACCCAAAGAGCTAATGAGTCTCTGTCACTCGCGTCTGTGGATCCCCTCCTGGTTTGATCCGTGTCATAGCCAAGGGCTGGATGCCAGGCACATGGGCTTGCTTCAGTAGGAACATGAGGGTCTGCTGGACCACCGAGACCTAGGCAATGGACAAGTAGGGCAACGCCTCCCATAGGAAAGGATCACCCCTGGGTGTCACGGAGCAAGGTACAGCATGGACTCAGCTAGAGGCTACCACATGGGGACCGCAAGTTGAGCAGCCTCACAACAGCCCCGAGGTGGGGAAAGCCACCAGCCCCCATCCTCCTCCACCCCTTCCGGCAAGTGAAAGGGAGAAGCAGGGGGGAGCCTGCAGCTCCCAGGTGGCCCAACGCCCTGCCCTGAGTCACACTGTCCTGAGAGCAGATGACCCCACAGTTGAACGGGTCCCTGTGCCGGCCCGATGAATGCAGCAGATCACGTGCTCCCATAGCAGATGATGACCCAGCGCCAAAGCACGCCACCCCTTCCCTGCCCTGCGGACGCCAGCCCGCTCACCTCGGGGTCGTTGGTATCGAGCGGTTCCAGGACCATCTTGTCATGCGACTGCCAGAGTTCAGCACTCGGGAGCTCGCCGTTGAGGTTGGCTGAGGTAGCCATGGCCAGGTCTCCTCTGGCGTCAATGCAATCTGAAATGAGGAGGGTGGGAGAGTTTATAGAAGACGCGTCTCTCTGCCACCTCCTCCTGGAAGCATCTTTGGCTTGACTGTGCCCTGGCCTGCGACCGCTGTACATCCGGGAGTAAATTTAGTAGGAGTTAGAATGAAAAATCCCAGTAAACATAAGACGACGGGACGGGGCCTGCCCTCTGCTAGCATGTTTTTGTGGTGCAGATCAGAGTGCCTCGCTCTTCACCAAATGGGTGATGGTTTGAGCCTGCCCAGGGCTGTTGGCTGTAGGAAGGACTTTCTTTCCTGTAGCACTTTTCTTGGCAAGGTTTTTTGTATCTTGGTGACTTAGTTGCGCCAGCACAAACGGTCGTGCAATCCCCATCACTGGCAGTTTTCACGTGCAGGTTAAACCCTAAGTCTGGGCTGGTTTGGACAGGGATGGTCCTGCTTTGAGCAGGGCCTTGGGCTAAATGACCTCCCAAGGACCCTGCCAGCCTGATTTCACCATCTGAATCCAAATCAATAGAAATAATGGACTGCAATGGGTTTGGGCTCAGTGCGATGGTGAAAACACCAAACTTCAACCACTGCTTCGAATCCACTGGACAGCTCTTGTCATTCGGAGGGGTGTTAAATGCAACAAAACTCCCATTGAGCATCTCGTTGCACACAAGTCTCATCGCACTGCGGCCCGCAGGATTTCTTGAATCGGGAGGACGCAGCTCCGAGAGCGCGCGGCTTGTGGGATCCGGCCAGGAGCGCGTGTGTAACCATATGTTGGATCCGTGCCCATCTCCATGTATTCAGCCTGAATAACAACCCAGCCCAATCCACGGCATCCCGACTGAAGTCCACCAGCGTGACCCCCGCGGAGATCAGGCATGGGCACAAGTTATCTTACTCACCAGGGGACAGAACAGCCTCTCTCTTCCTTAAAGACAAAAAGGCCTTTCAAATATTAACTCCACAAGGCCAGCACCCCCCGCGCTGCTAGTTAGGCAATCGCTATGTTTGCGTGGGTCAAACAGCTAAAGTCCGACCCAGAGTCCATCCTGCTCTGGCGAGGGGCAGCTGGCTGGACGAGCTCCCCCCGCCCCGCAGCCTGCTCATGTCACTGCAAATCCCGAGTGTCAGAAAAGCGGAGCTACCCCAAGAAAGGGGCTAGGGATGTGGCGGGTGTGGGGAAAGTAGAGCCTGCCCCTGGGGATAGGAGCGGACTCGATCCAGCAGGCAGGCAGTCCTCCTAGCATGTCATCCTCACCTCGACCGTGGCCCTCCTCCCTGGGATCTCTGCTTTACAGCGGGGGAAAGCCTGCTCTTGGTACTTCGTTCACGGGGAACGGAGGCAACGAGCTACATTCTGCGAACTGCCAAAAGTCCCAGTTGGTCAGAACCAGGATTGAACCTCCTGGCTCCCGGGCCATCAGCCCACCCATCCAGTCGGAGCGGGGTAAGGAATAAGAGAGGCTCCCTTGTGCAAGGAGCTGGACACAGAATCAGAGAGGGACCACCGGAGCCGTCGAGTCCAAGCCCCTGCTCAAGGCAGGACCGTCCCTACTCCTGGTTCCCTCAGATCCTGCTCCAGGGCTTCAGCCAGGTGGGATCCTGCCTGGAGCCGGGGGCTGGGCTACGTGTCCGCCCCTGTGAGCGCCCATGATCCGAGGAGCAGACCCCCGCCAGAGGACCGCAGGGATGGCAGCGGGCTGCGGTCCCCCCCGGGGCAGCTCTGCACCCCGCCAGACCCAGGGGCCCCGCGCCATCGCCCCGCACTTACCGCGCTCCGGCCCCGCCGCCGCCCGCCGCTCCCGCGCTGCGATGGAACGTTCAGACTCTCCCACTTCCTCCCCCAGCCAATCCGCTCCCGCGCGGGGAG